CGTTACGTTAATTAACGTATTAGTACGTATACGTACGTAATTACTACACACACACACACACACACACACACACACACACACACACACACACACACACACACACACAAAAAGAGCACACTTAGATTCACCAGCCACCTATTTGGAGCTTTGGAGCTACTCAAACACACTAACAGACGCACAAAGACACACACTCCGGTATCTGTGTGGGTGGACTGGAGTTTGAATAAAGGTCACGGCCAAAGCCAGGCTGCCCAGATGACCTCTGACCCGGAGAAACGCCCCCCCACCCAACGTGCGTCTGTCACTGAGAAACAGTCTGTCCGTTTGCCTCCTGATGAAGGTCCAAACCTTGTCACAAAAACAACATGGCCACATTTTGTCTGCCGTTAAAGTCAGTTTGTTGTCCAGTCTGCACTTAAAGGTGTTGGACAGGTCGGCCTGCGTACAATTATGACATTATTGTGATTTAGATTAATCAATGAATCGTTGCCTAAAAAGTCAGAGGTGGCGTTGTAACATTTATTTTGTTATTTATCAGGACAAAACCAAAAGTTGTTCACTAGATGACAAAGAGTAGCAGCATATCCCAAATCCCATTAAAAAATTTTATTAATTTAATAATCTTTAATACATAATCTATTTTACATAACAACCAATCACATTTGGATAATGCAAAGGGTTGTGATTGCTCCTGATGCTTTTTGTGTGTGTCAGTTTTGTGTTAAATCTTATCTTAAGTGTAAATCTTTGTGTTGTAATATTTAGTTTGAATTAATAATCTACTATCAGTTCATCATTCTGTTAATCAACCTTTATCGGCTAATTGATTTAGCTGTAAATCCCCATAACTGTTGAGCATCTGTGAGTTTTTTTAGAAGGCAGTGTAACCAAGCTTCTGTTCTGATGTTGACCTCATAGATAAGTGTAAATCTTTCAAAACATCTAAACCGGATGTATTTAAGGACATATGTATAAAAACAAGTCTCTATTTAACAGAGAGCACCTGGAGTGCAGCGCCATATGCACTTCTCACTGAGCGTCTCCAGCAGTACATTGGGTTGTTGTAAATCACCACATAAAGTATTTATAAGGTTAAACTTGGGAACTCTGCTGCCGTTAGCTTTTGAATTAGTGAACTCGGACCAAGGGAGACGGGAGACGGGGGGGGGTCCTTTCTTCCGCAGATGGAGCCTATTTGTTCGACAGGATTAAAGAATCAAGAGTGCCACCTTGTGGTTGCCTCGGCAAACTGTCAGCTTCACATTTCCATATTTGAAAAAGAAGGCAGTTTCTCTGCTGAAACATGCTATTCTGCTTTCTATAGATCATTCCTCAACTCTAGATTTTCACCTATCCGGCACCTTCTGAGTCTGGTAATCCCACTGATAGTGACTCATGTTTAATTTTCTCTCCATTGCTCCACTTTCATGCCTCTCGCGACACACGTGGTGTAGTTTTCTGTGGTGAGCAGCCCACAGTGTGGGGTGGTCAGTGGTACAGTACGGAGTATTGTGACTTTTTCTTTCCGCTCGGGTTAGAGAGGAATAAACGTATCTGAGGATGTCTCACATCTTCTCTTGTCTGTGTCGACCTCCCTCGACAGACCACCTTACTCCCACTCATGTACAAACAACACAACCCCTCGGACACACACACACACACACACACACACACACACACACACACACACACACACACACACACACACACACACACACACACACACACACACACACATATATATGACCAAGAGGAGATGGTCATGACTAATGGAAGACAACAGGAACATCTCAAAGTTGACAGTGAAAGTTGAGTTTTAGGGACCAAAGCTCCACATGTATCATCCACTCTTCGGTCAGATTGTCCCGCTTTCTGTTTTTCTCTTGTGTCAGTGTGTGTGTGTTGGTGTGTGTGTGAGTTGCTGTTTCCAGCGTGCCATCACTTTCCGTCGGCACCCGTCATCCCCCTCTTTTTCACCTTGTCTATCTGTTCTATCTCCTCGCTCACTCACTTTCCCACTCTCTAACCTCTAGCATGTCCCCCTTTTTTTTCTTCTTCTTCTTTTGTCTTGTATTTCTCTGTCCTCTGTGCAGAGTTCCTACTCTTTTGAGGCTTACTTCCTGTTGTGTTGCAGGATGTGGGGAGGAGGTGGGGCTTTTGGGGGGTGTGGACTACACTGAGCGTAATTCTCTTCTCAACCATATGATTTAACACACTCCTCCTTTTTTGGTTTGAGAGTGAGGGAGGGAGGAAGGGAGAGTGAGAGTTTGTCTTTACGTCGCGCACACACACTCTCTCACACAGATATGACCAAGACAGCAGCAATAGCAGCGAAGGACTTCTTCAGTATGTGGTTGCCAGGTGAGTGACTGTCTGTGCAGCCCTCTCTCTGCTGGCCTTCATTTACCCAGACCAATTAAGCTTTGCGTGAGGGAGAGGGCAGTGTGAGTATGTGTGTGTGTGAGTGTGTGTGTGTCTGAGAGAGAGAGAGAGAGAGAGATAGAACTGTGTCTATGCTGTTGATTAATGCCACTGGGTCTAACAAGTTCAGCTAATTAGAGAGCATCAAAGAGCGAGAGGTGGTACGGAGGGAAAGATGTGGATGGACGGATGGATGGATGTCGTAGGAATTAAAGGTCAGACACCTTGCAAACCTGTGTGTGTGTGTGTGTGTGTGTGTGTGTGTGTGTGTGTGTGTGTGTGTGTGTGTGTGTGTGTGTGTGTGTGTTTGTGTTTCAGTGTTTGTACTGAATAATGAATGCTAAAAAAAGCTCGAGGAAAAAAGGTTCAACGTTTTTTTAAACACCTTATTTTTAAAGTTCTGGCAATGGAAGAACAGATGTTGCAGCCAATATATATTATTTTATTTCATTACATTTTTTATTTCTATTCTTAGAATAAGTTTCCCTCTTGTTGTTTGGCTCTGCAGAAGTGTTGCATTTATTGTCAGTTAATAGATATTTTGCTGATAAGGTTTCTCATCTTGTGCAACTTTGAAACGTGAAGTTAACTTTCTGTGTGTGTGTGTGTGTGTGTGTGTGTGTGTGTGTGTGTGTGTGTGTGTGTGTGTGTGTGTGTGTGTGTGTGTGTGTGTGTGTGTGTGTGTGTGTGTGTGTGTGTGTGTGTGTGTGTGTGTGTGTGTGTGTGTGTTTGAAGTGGGGGGGTTTATCACAACATAACAGGTCGCTTATACATGTATAACATTTGAATGAATGATGTTTATTCCAATTAATTAAAAACTCATTTCAGCAGCACTCTGACACAAGGATACTTGATTTTTTTTTTTAGACTGAAGGGGAAATGCCTAAAATAGCATTAGTTCTCAGAATTTAATTCAAGAAAGTGATGAAAAAAAGCAGAAGAATGTGTTTCTGCTCGCTCCTCGGCCTTGTGTTGACGGTCGGACAGATTCTCAGTTGACCGACAGAGAGGCTCAGAGCACACTGGGTGTTAGCTGACTCACCGGTTACCAGAAATCTAGTCTTAAATGTCAATTAGCTCACATTTATCAGAGTATGATCTCCTGGTATGATTTCCTAAAAATGACAGGTTCATTTGATGACATGCTTCAATAATCAGTGAGTAATTCATGAGTAAAGAGTCACATCTCAACCTGATGCGGTCAGTCACTGATGCGACTGTCAGTAAGTTACTCTGACCGGAGTTACACCTAACAACAATACAGCCAAATTAGATCACAATAAATATAACCAAAGTCTTAATTATCGTAATGGTTCATAAAGTAAATGAAAGAATAAAAATGTCCCGAAAATTTAATTATTACATTTGCTAAGTCAAAACTGAGGAGGCTTTTTCTACAGTTTTCAAAGTTAACTCAACAGTTAACGGCAATTTGACTAATTAAGGCCAGAATTATGAGTGAATAAATACAGAATTTCTAATTATTTTTAATTAAAGGTGAGGTCAATGTAGGCTTCTTACCAATCTTTCTCAGTGGCCCGAATTGCATCAATGCAATACGTGAAAAAGCCAATTTATTCTCTACACCAACATCTACATAATTCAGAGGTGGTCATTGTCGTAAGCCTTTCACAGTGACGTCTGACTGAATTCAAGTAGCATTTGCTTTTGTTCAAAAGGTGTTTTATGAATTCATATAAAGCACTTTAAGTCGTCATAGTGTTTCGTGAAGGGGTCAATACAAAAAATAAGATAACAAGGATAACCAACGACCTGACCAACGATGTCAGCACGTAGATCGAAACGATGCTCTCATTATATTTTCCTTTAGCTTCTTACTTTACTGTTGGATTTCCCTCTTCAATTCCTTATTATTACACTCTTTATTACAAATGTCTACATCATTCTTATCCAGATGTGTGAGAGCTGTTCAGCTGGACTTTTCGACGCTCAGTTTTAAACAGAAAATCAGAATCATCTACCTGTAGCACTCCTTGTTTAGTAACCCGTAGAAAGCAGGTGTGATGACTGCTGTTCCCAGACAGACCCTTTGGCCATGAGGCTGTGTCCTGAATCAGGAAGTGGGGGGGGTAGTTACAGCGGAGTTTCATCTCTGCCATAATACCCAGAGGAGAATAACAGAAACTGTCCACACTGAGCACAGACTGCTGTTGCTTCTTCCTTTCTGTTGCATCATTTATTCGTGACACGGGATTATACAGCACTTAATTTGCTCTGTGTTAGAGACAGTGAGTACGGAGCAGCTCAAAGTTAAACCCTGGGCTTTGCTGTAAGATTAGTAAAACATCTTAATGAGGGACGAAATAGTAATCAACCATTCTACTTTGGAATAAAAACATCTACTATTAAAGAAGAACAAGGAGCCCTGTTAATATATGTTTGTACTATTTAAAACAAATGTTCTGAAATACACTCATAAAATGTGTCTTGTGTCAAGCAGAATATGTGTGTGTGTGTGTGTGTGTGCAGCAATGTGTTGAAAAGAGTGGGTTTGTAAAGAGAGAGTGAGCACGCTAATATTAATAGCCTCGCTGACAGTAAGTGTTGGGTTTAGCACTCTGCGTTCAACCCGGTACAAGGGGAAGTCGGGAGGGGAAGTGAGAAAAAGACGCAGCATCTTGATATACTGTCCCACTACTGTATTACTGACCACATTATCCACCATGACACTGTCTGTAGGCCATTTTGAAACATGAATCAATACACACCTTCCCTGCGTGTCCTGCGAGAGGCGGCACTTTGGGAACTTCATGTTACAGATGTTTTATGAGCTGCTCAATTACTTTATATAGTGGAGTTGGGTTTTAGTGCTGCACATACTGCTGATCGGACAGGCCAATTTAATACGCAATACTTCTTTTTTAAACGTGTGCATCTTGAGAGGAAGACCTCACACCTTCGCCAGAAATTGGGCAACATTGGGCAGTTTTTTGGGGTTTCATGCATTGCCATGATTGCCATAAAATACCCAAACAGAAACCACTTGCAATGTTGGAATAACCACAACTCCACCCTAAGAATAGATTAACCAGATGTTGCATCCACAGGGTTTGTGACCAAATTAGCTTTTTGCAGAAGTCCGTTTATTTGAGGGAAATCCTGCGGTCAGTGTGTGTGTGTGTGTGTGTGTGTGTGTGTGTGTGTGTGTGGGGTGGGGTGTGTGTGTGTGTGTGTGTGTGAGCGCGCGAGTGTGTGGCGTGTGTGGGGGGTGTGTGTGTGTGTGTGTGTGTGTGCGTGTGTGCGTGTGTGTGTCCTGACCCCGGTTAATAACCAGTGTGGCGGCAGATTGGAGCTTTTCTAGCTCATTGCCACTTCCCCCTTCCCCTAAAGAAGCTGCATGTACTAAAGTCCACTGTTCTCACATTTATTTCACTACAACAAACCTGATTTAGTCGCTGAATATGATATTGGAGTCGTTCATTTGATTCTTGTCTTCATAATGATAGCATTGGATTGATGCTGTGGCTATTTAACAGTGGCCTCGGGTCAGTGGTGGTCATCTTCCCATGAGTCACTGCTGCCCCCTGATGGTGGAAAACGAGTTTGACCACTCGCATGTTTGCATTGCACAAAGTCCAATACAATTATGTTTAGCTAATGTATAATATAGATAAGAACACTAAACTCAATAAACTAATGGAGCTATTAAAATGTACCGTCTCTCATCTGCAATGTGAGAAACAACAGGTTGAAGAGAGGGGAGATGAAGGAGGGAGGGATGGGGGAGAGAGAGAAAGGGGGAGTGAGACTGAGAGTTTATTATGCAGGTGGCAGATAAAATTAGTTGGTCGTTGGGCAGATTTGCATTTCTCACAAAAGGGAAGTGGCTGTGTGTGTGTGTGTGTGTGTGTGTGTGTGTGTGTGTGTGTGTGTGTGTGTGTGTGTGTGTGTGTGTGTGTGTGTGTGTGTGTGTGTGTGTGTGTGTGTGCGTGTGTTTGTGTGCGTGTGCGTGTCAGGGAGAGAGAGAAAAGAGAAAAAAAAGACTTCAAATATACACAACAAAAACTTCTGTGTCTTTCAGTTTGTGGTTTCAGACACATGAAACACATGAAACGTTTAATAGTGAGATAATACATCTGATTGAGTAAACAAGCTAATGCTATGCACACAGAATACTGTGCCGTCCGTGCATCTGCTCCGAATATGTGAATGCGTGGACATGATATCATTATAAATAAGAATTTCTGACCTCTACGAAGCAGTTTTGTATTTTTCAGTGTTGATAAAAACAGTTTCAATCATTAAGTTACTGAGAACAATTAATAATATCTCATTAACAAGTTATAACATCTTACAAAGCTAAATAAAGGCAAACAAATGTTTTGCAAAATGTACATAAAACTGCCCCTTATCCTTTTCAATGTCTTGATTTAACATATTTCAACTCGCTCGGATTCCACTTTGTGCATATAACAAACACACACACACACACACACACACACACACACACACACACACACACACACACACACACACACACACACACACACACACACACACACATACCATGTATACTTCACTTCAGGGGACATTACATTGACTTACATTCATTTCCTAACCCTAACCAAGTCTTCACCCTAAAATTAATGATTCCTCCTCCATTTTGTCCCCATAAGGGAAGCCAGTCCCCAAACGTGACTGTGTAAACAGATTTAGGTCCCCACAAGGATAGTAATGCTAGGCCACACACACACACACACACACACACACACACACACACACACACACACACACACACACACACACACACACACACAATATTTGCCTTCAAATCTCTCATCAGATCATCTTTCCTCTTTGCGTCCAAAATGCCAGTGTTGGAAGAAGTACTCAGATCCTTTAATTTAGTAAAAGTACAAATATTAGGGTGTTAATACTGCATTACAAATAAAAGTCCTGATTTCCAAATGTTAAAGTACAAAAGTATTGGCATCAAATTGTATTTAAAGTACTAAAAGTACTCATTATGCACAATGTAACTTCTCACAGCATTATATTATCCTGTGTTAATTAATGTGAGAGCTTTTTCTATACATGAAATACTGTGTAGATTAGTAGTACTGCATTACACCATATCAGCATATTCATGTGTTTTTAATATGTACTAAATAACTAGTATCTATATCTGTTAAAATACATTCAGTGGAGTAAAAAGTATAATGTGTTCACCTTAGAAATGTAGGGGAGGAGAAGTTTAAAGTAGCAATAAAGTAAATTACAAACATTTCAAACAAGTACAATTCTTGAGTCTTATATAGATATATACTCCAATAGACTTTCCACCACATCGAAATGCTGTCCACCTTGTGATGAATAGATTTAACGTGTTGAACGTCTCCCTCTCTTCTCTGATGTTGCCTGTAGGTGCTGTCCCAGTACAGTGTCAACCAGGAAGTGATGTGGTCTCGTAATGAATGACACACAACCTGAGACATTTTTAGCAGCATATTGCTCCCACTTAAACACCTTGAGTTATATTTTTAGAAGAAGCAAACACTTTGGTCAGCCTACTCCTTTTGTCAAACCGCTAATTGGAAAGAGTGAATGAATGTGGGCTGCAGTGAATGATTCATTGTTTGTTGTACAGTGTGTAGGTCTGTGACCTGAAAACACTCTAACCTCCGACAACAACGCCCTGGACATCCTCTTTCCCCTCTCGTCATTCAGACTCTTTATCGCCTGCTTCATGAATATCTTCTGCTGCTGTCTGCATTTTCTTTCTCTGACATACATTTAAGAAGCTTGCCGATTTATTTATCATCGCGTCTTCCTGTTGCAGATATCAGGATGTCAAAGCCAGCAGAGGTCGAGAAAGTCGGGGCCAACTCTCCGATGGAGGGCGCAGGTGAGATGTGCTGCCGTTATCCACAGAAAATACACAACGTACATATTGTATATAAGAAGAATTACATGTGGAAGAAGTAGTCCGACTTTTTACATAAGCAGCGATACCAACGTGCAAAAACACTCATTTGCAAGTAACAGTCCTGCTTTCAAAATCATACTCAACACTAGCAAAGCAAAATATACTCATTATGTTGTACGGCCTGTTTCAGAGTCATTTACATTAAATGATTGTGTTATAATTGTGGAGGCGTTTATGTGTTCATCACTTTGATGTTGCACTTTGTTAGGCTGAGGTTTAGTTGAATAATTATATATACTGCCAGGTAGCTTAACGTATGCTTATATTTAATTATTTATTTATTTTTTGTGTCATTAACCTCAATCTGTAAAATAGCCAGTAACTCACCCTGTGAAATAAATGTAAAAAAGGGAAGAAATTCTACTTTTTTCTACAATATAAAATAATATTTTAAGTAATCCAAGTGTTCTTAGAAAAACAACATTTCATACTAGCATACAAAAACATACAGAAAAACACCTTAGAACAGAAAACGTACATTACAGTACAAAATGAATTGTGGTAGCGCATGTGAAACACTCAACTGAAGGACCTACATTTCCTAAGTACAGCACGTACAGTGAGTAAATGTACTCCGTTAGTTTTCTCCGCTCTACATGCGTGACGCCGTATGTCAGAGCTGCTGTTTGTGCTCTATTGATTTCTCACTTTTTCCTCTCCCTCCCACACAGATTCAGAGCGGAATGGACCTGAATCAAATCACCAGGTACGCCTTCGATTATAACGAATTATCTCACACCTCGACATCATGCAAGAACGATATCAGTGCCAGTCATAGTCGTAGGGTTGGTTAATGCCATTATCTATACATTTGTTGATTGTTTTTCATTTAATGTGAACAATTACGGAGAGATGTGATCTTGAATATGTTGTTGTTTGTGATTAACAAAACAAAATCTTACAAATATTTAACTGACAAGGAAATTAAACAGGAAATAGCAGGAAATCCTCACTTTTAAGATCTTTTAAGAAATTCGTTTTGGGCATTTTCTTCTGCATAATTTACTGAAACTATTATTAAAAAGATATTACAATTATTTAAAAAAAAAATTCTATTGATACATGAACTATTTGTAGTATAAAATAGTACACACAGATTGCCTTTCGAGTCATTATTTGCAGTATTTTCTGATATTCGTGTGTTTTGTGTCTTCTAGGCTCAGTCAATGAAAGTCAATCCTTATTCCCTTTCACAAGCCCTGAGCAGCAACAAGGTCAGTGTGTGTGTGTGTGTGTGAGTGTGTGAGAGAGAGTGTGTGTGTGTGTCCATCTGTCCATGTGTCCATGTCACCACTCTGCATGTCTGGGCTTCTGTCTGTGCGTCTTTTGTGAGTCCAGGTTTATTGACAGTACAGCTTTGTATTCATCGCTGCTCATTCAGTTGCCCCTTAGTCTTGTTTAACGTTGAGGTCCATAATGTGTCGGCTCTCCACCCGGTCCTCGATGTGAACACATTCACTCAGAGGATGATGGCACTCTCCCTTTACAAAGAATTGCAATACATTTATAATGCTACAACTTCCACGAAAAGGAGAAATTATCCTCATTTGCATACCGCTGGCGAAATGCAAATCAGTTAGCTGGAAGTCCCCTGCCTGTTCAAACATGCCTCCTCCTGGGAGGAGAGCTCATCCCTCTGTGGTACGAGTAGATAAAGAGAGGTGGACTCTCATTGCCTGAGAAACACCAGAGACACATCTCTCCTCAGTTTACATGTGACAGCATCTTGCATTTAAATAATCTACACTCACTATCATGATCTTCAATAGCCAGGTAAGCTCATTTAGTTAAATAGTGTGGTTAGAAATATCTCTTTTTGCAAGCGTGTTGTTAAAAGTTACTTGCTAATTATGTTTGAAAGAAAAAGTAAAAGCCTTCATTTAAGTCGAAGTGCATAAGTACTGGCATCAAAATGTTCTTTGCATATAGTCACAGTATCGACTCGTTCCACCACTGATTGATAACTTGTTGTTTAGATACACGTATGTTTTAATTATCACATGTGTCTTTCCCACAGAATAAGATGGAGGAGTGTGGAGAGATGTCCCCGGCCCTCCCTCTCTCTCACGGCCCGACCCCCTCTCAGACCCTGCAGCAGCACACACAGCTCATGCTGACCGGCTCCCAACTAGCAGGGGTGAGACAACACACACACACACACACACACACACACACACACACACACACACACACACACACACACACACACACACACACACACACACACACACACACACACACACACACACACACACACACACACACACACACGCTTTTACCCTGCTTGCTTCTCTTGTACTGCTTTTTAAATACTTTGTTTCCCTCTTTGTCTTCTTCTGTCCGTTGCAATCTTTTCTGCTTTATCTCAATGGTCTCTCTCCTCCTCTCCTCTCCTCTCTCCTCCTTTCCTCTCTTCTCCTCTCCTCCTCTCCTCTCCTCTCCTCCTCTCCCCCTTCTATCCTCTCTTCCTCTCCTCTCAGTTGACGGCTCTTCTCCCAGCTCAGCAGCAGCTTCTCCTCCAGCAGGCTCAGGCTCAGCTCCTAGCAGCAGCCGTGCAGCAGTCCTCTGCAGCGCATGCCGCTCACGTTGCCCACGCAGCAGCCAATCAGCAAGCTCAGGCCGCCGCAGCAGCAGCCAATCATCATCAGGCCCAGCAGCAGCATCAGGCCCAGTCTCAGGCCCAGTCTCAGTCCCAGGGACAGAGCACACAGGACCAGACAGCCCAAAGCGTCCAGCCCCCCCAGCTCAATCTCTCTCAGCCAATCCAGCTCACCGCCCAGGTACTGCCCGCCAATCAGAGCCACTTCCTGTCGAGCGGCTTGATTGAGGAACCCACTATCAAGCCGTGGAAAAATTATTCGTGCTTGAATGCTTATTTCATGATTCACAGTTTCCACGCTCCACCAATGCACACATTTTCCATTTCTCTTCTCATAACTTTTACGATAACACAGTTTTTCCTCCCACTTCAGGGTGTCCTACTCGATCAACAAAGTGCAGGTTTTCGGTCAGATTTAGCATGTTGAGGTTTTTTTAAATAGTGCAATTAAATACAATAAAATAGAATAGAAGTAGTGCCATAAGAGTCCATGTGATAAATGATTAGTTTTTCTTAGTTTTTCCTAAAGTGATCTGCAGCCTTTGTGTAATAGGTCAATGACTTTAAGTGAACATCAAAACCTCCAGGGGAGAAAGATAACATGTGTTTTCTTTTACTCAGCCCTCTAACTTTCTTTAAAAATCTGACATGTTTCTCTCTGTGCCCAACAGGACATCCAGCAGCTGCTCCAGCTCCAGCAGCTGGTGTTGGTGCCCGGTCACTCTCTGCCCTCTCCGGCACAGTACCTCCTCCAACAGCCACAGCAGGGCCAAGGTGGGCAACACCTGCTACTGACATCCTGTTTTGGGGCAGAAATTAGATGTTGAAGGTCACCTATTATGCAAAATGTACTTCTTCATGTCTCTTCTACATCAACATGTAAAGTTTCAGAAAAAAAGATTCTCTCTCTTTTTGTCCTGATCCATTTCTATAAAAAACTGTCTGAAAATGAGCTGATCAGATTTTGGCCACTTTATGATGTCATAACGATTTGTTG